GCGGTTGTCACAAAATATCTATCTATCTCATTTTAAGTGTAAAGATATCAGGTGCGCAACTTAATTCTCGATCCCTAACTTCAATCGATGAGTACCTATTCAAATTTACATATCTTTCTCGCCATATACTCGTAGTCATATTGGAGCGCCATTTTTAAGCTTTTAAAGGCACTGTAATTGTCGGTGGTTGTACTATCTAACTTAAAAAAAAAGTGTTAAAAGCAATGTCGTTTGAGAAGCAGCATTTCAGACATTGCCTTCTTTTTTTCGCTTTTCAATTAAAAAAAAATGTTGCTGAAGCACAGGAAATGATTTGTTCGGCTTTGAGAGAGGATGCTGTTTTTTACACTACCTGTAAAAAGTGGTTCCAGCGATTTAAGAGTGGAAATTTCGATCTTAATAATGAAAAACGTCCGAGACAGCCAATGAAAGTCAACGATGAAGAACTGGAACAACTTTTGGAAGAGAATTTCTGTCGCATACAGTCAGAGCTCGTACAGGAATTCAGAGTAACAAGGCAAGCCATTTCTAAGCGTCTACATAAGTTCGGAAGGATTCAAAAGGAGGGCCATTGAATTTACCACGAATGAATTTCACAACTGAGAACAAGCGTAGACGCTAGGATATTACTGTGTCGTTACTATCCCGATTCAAGCAGAAGGATTTTCTGCACAAGATTGTGACTTGTGACGATAAATGGATCCTCTACGATGATCCAAAGAGGCGAAAATCGTGGGTTTATTCGGGACAGCTTTCGAGTAATATCACAAAACCGAATATCCACGCCAAGAAGGTGTTGCTGTATGTAGTGGGATCAGCAGGGCGTCGTTCATTACGAATTGCTCCAACCTGATGAAACGATCACTGCTCAAAGTTATCAGCAGCAATTGATTCGTGTTAGTGACGTATTAAAAGAGAAAAGGCCTTATATCGGCAAGGAAAGAAGGAAGATCATTTTGCTTTAGAATAACGCGCGACCACGCACAACAAAAACGACTTTGAAAACGATCACTGACTTGAGCTGGGAAATTTTATCGCACCCGGCGTATTCTCCAGACTTCACTCCTTCAGATTATCACTTTTTTAGTCCTTGCAACATCATCTGACTGATACTCATTTCATTTATGTCAAGAATGTCGAGAAAAATATGGTCGAATTTATAAATTTAAAACACCTTTCTTTTTTCCGAAGTGGAATTAGGCAGTTTCCTGAAAGATGATGCAAATGTATAGAAAACGAGGGAGATTATTTTGAAGATTAGGTAACTATTCGACTTTTTATTATTTTATTATTTTAAATTAGTATTGAAGTTCAATGAAAAAAGCCGAAAATTAAGTTGCGCACCTAATATTTGAGGATCTCATGCAACAGGAACAGACCTAATGTTTCAAATGCTGCCAGTACTGAAAGTCTATAGTTTACGTCACGTGTACTATGGATTACAGACAACTAGTTCTAAGATAACAGTCGGAATAACCAATAGGAAAATTGTCGGCATTTCGGTTTGGAGTATTAATAATGAAACTTTATCCCTAGAATGAAAAGTGAAAAGTGAAAATTTTTACCATTGAAATTAATGGAGAAAATTTTTACTTTTCACTTTCTATCCTAGGGATATAGTTTTATGATTGATATCCAAATCAAAGAAATGCGCTACTTTATTAATATATAGAACTTGGTGCGTTTTCTCCCGGGTCGCGTCTACGTATAGTGTATTTCTGAGAAAGAGGGTCAAAAAAGAGGACAAGGAACTGAAATATAACAGTTTACAGTCAGATCGGCAAAAAGAGTCTTTTATATGGTCTATGAGAGTCTCACGACGATCGCGAATCGGAATAGATGTGTTTCGTCTTGGAATTTTTGTTAATCAAGGTAGCGATCATGTAACTTTTTCGCTAGTGCATGACATATACATATAAAGAATTTTCATTTTTCACATTTCCGCCCTAGGAAAAAAATTACATGATCGGTATCCAGGTTAGCCCACCGAGCTTCGTGCCAGTGATGCCAAATTAGACTTATTTACGGCATTTTACAGCATGTGGAGGGGGATGCAATTTTAAAAAATTATTTTGAAATTGTACAGCATGCAATGGCTTTTGTATTTGTATATTATATTGACAACATCTTTATAATTAGATTAATCGTCTTGCTTTCGGAATTTTGTTCATTATCAGAAATTTTACATAACATTTGGATAATAGTTAAAAAAGTAATTAAAACAAAGTATTGATTGACACCAAGCACATTTGATAAATGTAATACCATTACGAAAACATTACCTTTCAAATTTTTTCAAAAAACATTTCATTTACATTAAAAAAATATTGATTTTTCGTTATTGCATGTTGTGCAATTTTAACATAATTTTTATCAATCTCTTGAAAAGCGAATATGTATTTTTCCTACAGTCGTTGGTTTATTTCAACATAAATACACAAATAATTTCAAAAATTATATCGATCAAAAACCAGGCCAATTTTTTGCGAATCAAGTTTATAAACACAGTATATAACACCCATAGAAAATCGTAAACAATATCTCGTAAACTATTGCGTTTTGACTTGATTTATACTATTTAGGATTAATGGGAGGGGCATATTATCATTAAAATTTATTAAAAGTTACATATTATCCGGATTGTTTTTTATCGATACACGTCGAGTGGCCGAGGAAGCATTTTCGGCCGCTTGAAATAAGCGTTCAGCGAGAAATAAAACTGCTCTCTTCTACCGTCTGAAGCTAGCTGAATCGTGACCGCATACGAACATGGACTCATGCCTTTATGTGTGTCATGACGGCGGTGAGCCGCCGCTTGCCGCCGTACCTTGTTCACATGTCGTAAAATGCCAAAAAAAGGGCCCAATCTGGCATCACTGGCCTAGTTTCCACCAAGCATTTCCCTGTCGTTCGACTGTAACAGGGGAATACTCGACTGTAGTTGGTTCTTACATTCTGATCCGGTTTAAATCCTCGGTGGAAACTAGGCCACTTCTTCGTGCTTTCGATCCCTTCTCTCAGAGGAACACTTTATACGCAGGCGCGAAATGAGAGAGAATCAAGGGAGAGTGGAACGGATAGCGTTCTCTTCTCTGATTGGTTCTACCATTTATCTGCTCACTTCCGCAAATGTACATATGTGCATGTATGTCGTGGTAGCCATCTTAAGTGTCCACTTTTTATACTAGTATATATAATCACTTCCGTCCATTTGCTTAGAACCAAACATTGGCCTCTTCTTGTCTGGAACGTCTTTGTCACACCTTTGCTCGTTCTGACCGTAATCTCCGTGTTCTTATATATATGTTCCAATTTCCTTATCAGCTGCTCCTTGATTCTATAACTTTCCTTAGTAACTCCCAGAGTACACCTCTATCTACTCTGTCGAAAGCTGCCTTCAGATCCGCAAAGAGAACATATACTTTCCTCTTCTTACTTTCTGTCTACTTGCTCTTTTGATTCAGTAAAAACAAATATGTCGACCTGCCTTTTCTGAATCCTGTTTGCGTCTCTGATTATGTTTTTCTTCCCTACCTCTTCTTCCAATTTAATTCTTAAGATCTCCACACACCATTTGTACGCTGTACACAATAACGATATTCTTCTATAATTTCCTACCGACTCTGTATCTCCTCTCTTATACTAGTATAATGGCACAATAATACTTTGCCTTCAATCTCTCCTTGTCTCCAAATTTGTCCCAATAATTCTATCATGTCCTTCCATAACGTACTTCCACACTTCCATCGGGATTCCATCTAAACCCTTGGCCTTCTTGTTCTTCATCTTCTTTAGTTACCCCCCCTAATTTCTTCTTCTTTCAACTCCTCCACCTTCTGTTCTCTATCTCTTGCTTCTATTTCCTCCTTTTCCTATGCAGCCACCTCCGTACTGCTTAGAAAATCCATAAAAACTTGCCTCCATTCCTCTGTCTCAATGTTATTATCTCTCCATATCCTCTTGCCCTTTTTTTATAAATTTCTATATATCTGCCTCCCTCTTCAAACATCTCAATTCCGTTTCCTCTTCTTCTCTCTTTTCTTTTTGCTTCTTCTCCTTAAATTTTCTTCTTTCTTCCATATATTCTCTCCTACTTATTTTTCCTGTTTCCAAACCTGAAGAAATAGTTCGGAAGAAAGAGATTCTCCATCAGAGAGCAACTCATCGCCGAAACAGAGGCTTATTTTGAAGGATTGGACAAATCATATTATTCGGACGGCTTGAAAAAGTTGGAGAATCGTTGGATCAAGTGTATCGAGCTGAAAGGAGACTATGTTGAAAAATAAAAATGAATCAATCAAAAAAAATGTTTTACTATGTTTTTCTAAAAACTTATTGACTTGCCCTTTATAATATAATATAAAAATATAATATAACTTTTATATTTATTAAAAATGCATTTATTTTGTATAAAAGTGCTTTTCAAACAATCGAGGTAACACAAAATATCCGAAACGAAACGAGGCAAATCCGTCCGATCCGTTCGAGTGGTCTCACGGAGTAGGTTAGATGACATACTCACTTGTCCTAAATCCGTTCGTATCACTGAACTTGAAGCATATGAATGCAACCGTTATTTTATCTGTGATCTAAGTGCTCTCTAGGTTAGTTTAGAGCATGCAATACGAACAAACCTTATGGCCCGTAGAATTCAGAACGCGCTTACACTTAGCGTGCTAACATGCTATAATTTACGTTACGCATACTATAGAATTTTAGAGATAAAAACACGGTTTTATCGATAAAAGCGCGTTCTGAATACGGGCCTAAATTTCAGATACACTGGATTCATTCAAAGCGATCCCGAACAGCTCCCGAGAAATAAAACGAACAATGCTAAAAACAGACCTAATGGACGCGTTCAAGTCGACAAAGCAATTAGCCTGCTCGCCAAGCAAAAGAGAATAATTGGTCGTTACTTATAGATCCAACCAATTATATTCAATTTCTCGGTAAGCATGCCCCTAGTCGTTTTACCGTTTTGAACTCGCCCAATGACTTTAGGAACGACGGAAAATGATACTTGGATTGCTTGATTCTTTCTGGTTAAATAGTGCGCGGAGAAGGTAGTTCTGATTTTTCGTAAATTATAATCCTTAAACATCTTATCCTATATTATTGATGAGCATTTAAATCGTTTAAAATATTATTTGATGAATCTTCCTCTCATAAATTAATGTCCAAGTAATCATCGTATCTGATCCGTTTGGCCGTTATTCGAAAATAATCACTTAAGTCTTGAGGCTCGAGATCGCTTGGTTAGGGCGAATGGACTTCGGTCGGAGTGTTGTATCAACATTTTTAAAAAATGTGATCGACTTTAAACAAATATCCGTTCAAATTTACTTTTGTGTATTCTGTTTTGAAACGTGATCTGGCTTCTGGTGTTGACTTCTAAAGGCTTGTTCCAAAAGGCAGCTATTAATTAAAAAGACGCGACCGAATTATATTACGATTACGTTTATGTTGCTCGTTATTAGTTGTTTTCCATTTACACACAAGTGAAACTGAGTCTGGAGTGAGCTAAATATTTCATACTTAGATTAATGATTAGATTAATGATTAGATTAATGAAAATGACGTCGTTACTTTGGTAAAAAGGTATCACATGTCAAAACAGGTTCATAACCTCATTTTTAAAATGAGTTTATGACACTAAAGCCTATTCTACAATGTGGTTTTTGTTTTCTGTTATTTTTTACATCTTGTCTTTTTGCTTCTTACCCGGTTTTTTGTTTTATATCGCCTGAGATAAAAGTTAACAAAACTTCGAAAGAAATAAGAAATACATAGCAAGAAATACAATTGTCGATAAAAATTGCGAAGGAGAAAAAAAGCAAAAGGTAAAAAACAAGAAATAGGAAACAAAGAGTATTATATATAGTAGAGCATATTGTAGAATAGGCCTAAAGCGCGCGGTCTCGATCTTTTGCAGATTGTACGTAAAAACTCAGTTGAATCTCATTTATCAGACTGCAAAAAGAACACGCATTTAACTGAATTATGACGTCACAAGTGAGAATTGTCTGAGAATTGATGTAAATAGAAAGCAATTATTATATACTAGGATTATCCGTCCTAATTTAGCAGGATTTAGCATGTCTTAATTTTGAATGGTGTTGGAAGCGTTCTGATTTTTTTAAATAGATGAAATGTCCTGATTACCATAGAAAATCAGTAGCTCAGAAAAGTAAAGTTTTGAAATGTATTATGTATATTTTTCTATTTTGACAAAAAAAGAAGATGTCTATTTCATAGGTGTTCTGTATTTATTATGGAATATTTCGATGCATTTTGATAATGCTATGGACATTAAGTCCAAATAATAGTTACAATAAATTAAATAGTATTACAAATTTGTTGTATGTATGAGATGTGCAGGTTTATATTTTATTCATTTTAAGATATTTTTAATGTGAATCTTTCATGAGACAGTTGCTCAAATATATGATGTGTTCCGAGTTATGCATGAAACGCATAATGCATCATTTGTTCTTGTTGTTTACTAATTAGTAAAGAAGGATAAAACGATACATCATGTGCTTCATGTATAACTTGGAACACACTCATAGTTATATTAAGTTTCATGGAAACTTTGTGTCGTTTTTTTCAAGAGATGCTTATAGAGGGAAAAACAATACAAACTTTCCATAGTACCTAATATATGTGTACAATCATGTACATTTGTTTTTATAATGTAATTTCATAATTACAGGTGAAAAATGGCTAAGACTTCTGAAAAGAAGGGAAAGAGTGCTATCAATGAGGTAGTGACTCGTGAATACACTGTGAATCTTCATAAGCGCCTTCATGGTGTTGGATTTAAGAAGCGTGCTCCACGAGCCATCAAGGAGATCAGGAAGTTCGCAGAAAAGCAGATGGGTACACCTGATGTTAGGATAGATACGCGTCTCAATAAGCAATTGTGGTCAAAAGGCATCAGGTATCTTTTTAATCAAATCTTTCAACAAAATCACTGAAGAGCTTCAAGTACATACATAATTAAGAAGTTCTTTGATTATAATTAATTCAAATGTAACTTGTCAATCATTAATATAGATTTAATCATCATGTATTGAATAGTCAGTCATTACTGAATCTTTTAATTTATATAAGAAAATTTTTTAATATAATTTTTTAATATAATTTATATTTTTT